GCTGACTTGCAGAATGTGCCCTTTGGAGATATAAATTATTATATATGCCTGAGTGGGGTTTTTTTTGTTGTTGTTTGTTTCTTTTCTTTCTTTGTTTTAAAAAAGCTAAAGTGAATAAAGAGAAATACTGTTAACTGATGGTACATGGAGGGGATTATAATCATTGTAATGAAACAAGGTGTATGATTGTTGAATGTAAAACTGGTGATCTGATGCCCTGTAAACTTTCACTCAGTCCACAATAAAAAATAAAAAATTTAAAAAACCTTAAAGTTTAAAAAAATGGAGCTCTGGTAGCGTAGTGGTTATGAATCGGGCTGTGAACCGCAAGGTTAGCAGTTGGAAACTACTAGCTGTTCCGCAGGAGAAAGATGAGGCTTTCTGCTCCGGTAAAGATTTACAGCCTCAGAAACCCTGTACAGGGTCGCTATGAGTTGGAACTGTCTCCAGTGCACATCATCGCCACCACCACCACTAAGTTTAAAAGGAGCCATGTGAGCAGCAGGAACAGTTAATCCCAGGACCATCCAGAGAAAGAAGAGCATAAACAGAGTGTAAGATCCCTATCTAGAAAAGCAATAACAGCAGGGGGCGGCATGGCATTACAGAACAGCTATCTAGTCTTCTAACCCATGGACCAAGTACAACTGAATTCCAAGGGCAGGAGGCGATCTTGCAAAATATGCCCTTTGGGCATTTACAGACTGGCTAAAGGAGCTTTGTAACACTTGCCCTAGCAGGACAGAGGCCAAGGGGCCAGGTGGCTGAAAGACCAAAGACAACAGCAATGTGTACCTGCAGTAAGGCATTCCTGGTTGGAAACTGTTCCATCCTGAGTTGTTTCTGATTCTGAATTGTACCCTCTTTACCTCCCTAATAAACCTTATGATTGTGAGTGTTGTTATGAAAAAAAAAACTTAAGAGTAACCATAATTTGAAAATGATTAACCTGGGGAGTAGAGCCCTCTCTGCAGCGGCAGTATGCCACTCTTCAGCACTGTGAAAGTTGGTTGGTTGCCAAATAGTATCTGCTTCCCTAGCCTTGGATGTTTAGATAGTTTGAGGTTACAGATATTGTTTTAACTTGAAAGGGAAATCATGAGGGGGAAAAGTCAGTTAATCTCATAGAAAAAGGGCTTCTAGATAAAGTAAAAAGCTAGCACCAGAAAAAAACAAATTTAATTTTGTCGGTATGTTTTCCTTCAGTTAACCCACCATCAAAAATAATGTGCTGGTACACCATCACAAAGGAGTGCTGGTGTGTTAATGTAAGGTAAGCACTGGACTGCTAACCTCAAGGCTGGCGGTTGAAACTCACCAGCTGCTCCTCGATAACCCTTTACAGAGTTGCTGTGAGTCAAAACCAACTCAGTGACACTTAACACTAGAAATACTAGTTTTATACTATCATACAGAAAGACAGGACCTTGTAAGCAAGATTTCCTGTAAGGAGAAAATGAAGAATAATTGTAGCTAATAGTTTGTAGGCTAATGTATCTGTGGGTTTGTTGAGTCAAAAGCAACTCGAAAGCACACAATGACAACAATAATAGTTGGACAGTGACTTCTTTATAAAGTTAAATTTTTATATGTTCATTTTTTATTCTAAACAGCTGTTTATGACATATATATATGTATATATATATGTATGTATATATATATGTTGTTAAGTGCTGTCTAGACAGTTCCAACTTATAACAACCTTGTATAAGGTTTCCAAGGAGCATGTGGTGTGTTTAAACCACCGACCTTGCAGTTCAAACTAACCTTGTGGTTCAGTGCTTATCCTACAGCTCCACACCAGGACTCCATATTTCATATATGTATGTATGTATGTGCGTATATATATATATAT